GTAAGTACCCAACATTTATAAGAGGTTATCTGGATTCTCTCCAGTATCATCCCAAAGTCTTCATTCACATTCTGTCGCCTGGCGTCCGGCATTGCATCCTTGGGCATTGTTGTGCGTCACACACAGAGCAGACCATTCTTTTTAATGTGCTGTTCTACGCACGGCAGAGGAGCCCATGTACCTCTTTGAGCTTTGTGTGTTCTGCCGTGTTTGCTGCATGGTTTTTTTTTTGCACACAAAAATGTCACATCTGGGGTTCCATTAACATTGAATGTGCTGCTGTAGTGTGAATGCAGCCTAAGAGCGGATTCACACATGTGGAGTGCGGATTGAAGCTCAGGATTCATAGCTAATTGATACAGTAGTTGTGCACAGGGCCGCTGATAAGGGGGTGCCCCTGGCCCTCCTGTAGGGGGCCCAGCCCCAGGGCCGCTGATAAGGGGGTGCCCCTGGCCCTCCTGTAGGGGGCCCGGCCCCAGGGCCGCTGATAAGGGGGTGCCCCAGGGCAGCTGATCAGGAGGTACCCTCGGTCCTCCTGTAGGGGGCCCATCCCCAGGGCAGCTGATCAGGAGGTACCCTTGGCCCTACTGTAGGGGGCCCATTCCCCAGGGCAGCTGATCAGGAGGTACCTTCGGTCCTCCTGTAGGGGGCCCATCCCCAGGGCCGCTGATAAGGGGGTTCCCTTGGCCTTCCTGTAGGGGGCCCGGCCCCAGGGCAGCTGATCAGGAGGTACCCCCGGCCCTCCTGTAGGGGGCCCGGCCCCAGGGCAGCTGATCAGGGGGTACCCTCGGTCCTCCTGCAGGGGGCCCGGCCCCAGGGCAGCTGATCAGGAGGTACCCTTGGCCCTACTGTAGGGGGCCCATTCCCCAGGGCAGCTGATCAGGAGGTACCCTCGGTCCTCCTGTAGGGGGCCCATCCCCAGGGCCGCTGATCGGGGGTACCCTTGGCCTTCCTGTAGGGGGCCCTGCCCCAGGGCAGCTGATCATGGGGTACCCCCGGCCCTCCTGTAGGGGGCTCGGCCCCAGGGCAGCTGATCAGGGGGTACCCTTGGCCCTTCTGTAGGGGGCCCTGCCCCAGGGCGACTGATCGGGGGGTAACCCTCGGCCCTCCTGTAGGGGGCCCTGCCCCAGGGCAGCAGAGCTGATCGGGGGGTATCCATGTGATTCGACCCGCACCGCATCCTGTGCGAATCACATGGGGGCCCTGCCCCAGGGCATCGCTGATCGGGGGGTACCCTTTTTTGGCCCTCCTGTAGGGGGCCATGCCCCAGTGGATTCTGCACATCGCACCGCGTTTTGAGACTGATTTTCGGGATGTTAACATACACACTCGCAGCGGTTCTCATGAATGGGGTGCGATTCTGATGCGGTGCGGAATTCACACAAAATACGCTGCAAATTCCGCACCGCATCAGTGTGAACCCGGCAGGGCTGAGTGTTGTGAACGTTAGAGGCGCTCCTGCTCTGCTCCACAGGTTTGACACTTTCAAGTTTCCTTCTGTTTATATTTGATTGCAACTTTGTTTCTCAGACTGCTGATCCCTATCTGTTCACTGATACAAACCTCTCTCCTTGTACAACTTGACCCCCCATCACCTGTCCCATTGGCAAATCTATGTATCCCCGCCCCACTCTTTTTGTTTATTTAATTACTGATCTAGTTAATGTGTCCCATGTCCTATCATGTACAGCTCAGATCTCGCATTATTATAAGATTCCTGATTATATCTCACCATTAGTCTGATTGAATTCACAATTCCTGGTCAGTCCCGTTCCCTTACCTATAATAACCTTCAGGGCCAGTTCACACTACATGTTGCTTTTTTTCTGCATCCAAAACACACAGAAAGTAGGTGATATGGTTGTCAATGTCATAGTTCACATCAGTGCTTGCAGTTCCAGTGCGGTGCAGGTGCAGAAAAAAAAAGTAGAACAGGCTGCATTTTTTTATGCACTGGAATGCGGTAAAACACATCAAAAACACACTGAAACACACACATCCCTAAATAACTGAAGAAAAGGAGAGGGGGAAAAAATTAACTGGAATGCATAAAAAACGCACTGGAACAAGCTAAAAATGCATAAAAAACATGCATGCAAAAACGCATCTGGAACACATCTAGACCAGGCTTTAACAGTGTGAACCAGGCCTTAGGACTGTTAAACCATTTGTGGTGCAGAAATGCATGCAAATAACATGCATTTTCCTGCAAGCAAAGAAACCCAATGCCCTTTGCAGATGTGCGCAGGTACCATAAATACTTAATTGCACCTCCACACGTCTAGTAAACACAGACACATTCACAGCTGCCAAAACGCATGGCACCACACTACTGTGCGGTTAGGTGCAACACTTTTAAAATAATATGCTGCAGTATTTTTGTAGGAAAGAAAATTGTCAAAAATGCCCCATTCCCACAGGCTTGGCCTGTACAGCATGAATGAGGGGGTTGTTCATGTGTCTGGAGCCACCTGTTACACTATGGGGACACAGCAGCTGTATGAACACAGGTTTTAATCGGACAGGTGTGCCGGCGTGGGGAAGTGGCCCTGAATGCTCACTGTCCGTGTTCAGGGCTGTACACCTGCACCTATATGCTTGTCAAATTATGACCTTCAGCATTTCCATAGTGTAACATAGGTTGCCTGCAAACGGCGATAGCCACAAAAAACAAACCACTGATTCCCACTCTACAGACCACAGCACCCATGTGAATGAGCCCCACGACCTCAGTTACACACACAGCTTTGTTTATGAACTCAATACAGTTTTATCATTTAGATTTCACAGGAATATGGTTGGGATTGTGTCCATTAATAATGTTTTTTGTGTATTTTTACCATAAATGTGAATTGGATATTTCTCTGGCGGGGGGGGGGGGGGGGGGGGCGACCTGTCAGGTAGGCTGTACGGGGCCCCGTGATATCTAACAGCGGCCTTGGTTGTACACGTCAGGACAGGATCAGCTCAGGATCGTATCCTGTTCACACATATGCGCTTTAGGAACGGTTCCCATAGAAATCAATAGCCTGTAATCCTCACCTGAACCTGAAATCGGACATGACTCTTTTTTTATACCGGGTTCACACTGATGCAATGCGGAATTCGCACCTGTTTCTGTGTGATATCTGCACCGCATCATGATCGTACCCCGTTCATGTGAACCGCTGCGGGTGTGTTTGTTAATGACACCCTGAAATCGGTTCGCAAAACGCGGTGTGCTGTGCAGAATCTGATCGCTTGGGTGTGAATACTCGTGTGATCTGTTTCTGGTGTGGACCAAAAAAAGAGTCCTGCACTATTTTGATGCGGTGCGATCTGAGCCATACAAATTGCACCGCACACAATCACATGTGATTTGCGCAGAAATGCGGTGCGGTTCCTGTGCGAATCACATGCGATATGCCGCACCGCAGAAAAGAAATGTGAACCAGAGCTCAAAACCGCACTGAATCTGCACCGGACATATGTGAACAGGCACCATAGGAAGCAATGTTATTTCTCATGTCATGTCGGATTGGATGCGGTTCAAATCACATCCAATCCTCATATGCGGACGGGCACTAAACCTTACCCTACACAGGCAGCTTGGGATTTTCTTGCTCCTTCTGTTTGGCCCTTGGCCAGTTTAGAGTTGAACTCCCAGCACACTTTATAGATGGAATGCCATGTAATGTTTTACTTGTCCACATTTAGGCTCCATGCACACTAGCATTTTTTTCTAAGCCCCTAAAAGCTGTTGGTTTTCTTTCTGCTCCTAGAAGCTGAACAGTGTCACCCTATGTGTCCATGCACACTACGTTGGGCTATTAGCATTTTTTTTTAGCTTCAGCTTCTAGGAGCAAAAAAAAATGTTTTTCTAGAGTTTTTTTTGGAGTGTTTTTCCAGCAGAAAAAATTGCTAAACACTACTAAAAGCTTTCTTTTGTCCTCAACATGTATTGTAAAAACACTAATAAAACACTAATGCTCCTAAACACTACGAAAATACTATTACCAGTGTTTATTCAGCATTTTGTTAGCTTAAAAAAAACGACTAGTGTCCCATGGAGCCTTACAGTTCTGTTCAAACAATCAATTTTGTGGCTTCCACAGCCCTGCCACACTGCACAGCCAGCCAGTGACATCCCTGTTTCTTGGTTCAGTGCTGCAGCCTCCTATCTGTACAGTGATTCATCATCATCATCATCACCTCTCTCTGGGTAAGAGGGAGGAAGAAAAGCTCAACCAGTGAATACAAGTGACCTTCTTAGTTGTGTAGTGCGGCAAAGGTGTTTGTGTGAATCGCAAGACTGGCTGAAGAGCGCCACAAATTCTCTGGCAGGCAAAACAGTAAATGTGTGTTTAGCTGTTTCCCTGGAATTTCACTTTAACCACTTCCTGTCCGGACACTTTCACCCCCTTCCTGTCCAGGGCAATTTTCAGCTTTCAGCGCTATCACACTTTGAATGACAATTGCGCGGTCATGCAACACTGTACCCATATGAATTTTTTACCATTTTTTTGAGACAGATAAAGCTTTATTTTGGTGGTAATTATTCACCGCTGGGATTTTAATTTTTTTTTACTATGTAAATGAAAAAGTCCAAAAATTTTGAAAAAAAAAAGTGTTTTTTTTTAAATAAAATTTTGCAAAATAATATTTCATCATAAATCTTGGCCAAAATTTATTCCGTTATTTTTTTAGTAAAAAAAAAAAAATCCAAATTAGTTTATAACCAAAAATTATAATTTTTAAACATTTTTTTTTTACATTTTTATTTTAATTTTTTTATATTATTACTTTTTATTTATTTATTTTTTTACATACTGTCACCCTAGCAGTACAGTGTCACCATGGTGACACTGTACTACTTGTGGGGGGTGATGAAGATTTTTTTTTTTTTTTTTTTTTACACACTGATTGCTTTTACACCCATATAGGATGTAAAAGCAATCATTTCTCTTTCTCTCTGTCTGCATTCTTGCAGCCATTGAGAAGTACTGAGTGAGCTGTGATTG